AAATTACGCTTTTATATAATTATGAATTTAATGTTTGTAATTATAATTATATAATAGATCGTATTAACAGGTTGCACAAACAGTCTGTTAGTGTTCAGTTGATGCTTTATAATTACAATTGTATAATTATTATATGTGAATAATTTGGGGCACAATCTTTTTATGAAAGATTGCTAGACACATTACATTACATTATATTTATACCTCAGGTTTTAAATTCACTGAGCTGGCAGAACTTGATAAAGCATTGCTTTAACCCCAACACTGTTGATGGGAATTTCTGTTCCACCTTGTCCTACAGCCATTCAGTCCCAAAGAAACACACAGTGACTTATATTAATTATAAGCTGTTTGACCTATTAGCTCAAGATTATTATAAACTAGCTCTTACAACTTAAATTAACCCATAATTCTCGTCTATGTTTAGTCTTGTGGTTTGGTACCTTTTGTCAGTGCAGCATTCTCATCTTGCTTTCTATGCATCTGGGTGGCAACTGTGTCTGGCTTCTCCTCTTCCCAGAATGCTCTTAGTCTGGTTGCCTGGCTACTGGCCAAACAGTATTTTATTAAACCTATATGAGTGACAAATCTTTACAGTGCACAAAAGCATTATCATACAGCACTCTAGAGGTAGAGTTTAAGGCTAGCCTCTTCTTCATGGAATGTTCCAGGATAGCCAGGACAATAGCAGGAGATCCAGTATTAAAACAAGCAAGCAAGAAAAAAAAAAAACAAGGATTGTGAAATTCATTTAAAAAATAATAATTAAAAATAAATACATTTAGCTAAATCACAGCCATTAATACAGCCATTAATTTAATTTTCACCTCACTGTATTTTTCTATTTTATTTGAGTTTTTAACTTTCGTTATAGATATAATGAGGCTTGCATTTTTAAAATTTAAGAGACCCAAATGCTGTGGAAACAATTACTGTAACAGAGTCCTAAAAGTCATGACTATAGATCTTATATACTAAACATTACTGAACTGAAAACACTAGAGTTGAGTACTGCCATCTCAATATTAGAAGTTTTTCTGCTAGTTTCATGACTCAGTGGATGGAGCACTGTAATTTGGATCCTTATCCTTCACATGAAAAGTAGATACATCTATAAAACAACTCCTGTACCTACAACTCAGGGGGGCTACAGTGGAAGGGTGGTCAGAATGAGTCTGTGAGTCAAAGAATTGGGTGTTTGCTATGAGTTTGTGTCTCCTAGTAAAGTAAGAAAATACATCCACAAAGTATCACCCATATAACTGAATAATATAAGCTGAATAAAGAAAACAACAGAAGACAAGCTAAAGTGGATGGGAGAAAAGGTCACGAGGCCTCAACCCTAAACAAAGGCTCGAAGAAGCTAAGAAACGCTGAGAATAAAAAAAGTCTTCCCTGGGAAAAAGCATATCCAACAAATAGTGGGCTCTGAAAACATATATAAAACTAACACTCTCTAGACAGAACAGAAATATATATATATATATCCATTATATATATAATCTATATATACATACATATATAACAACAACTAATAAAAGGGAGGCCATGACTTTAAAAAGAGAGCAATGATGGGGACAAAGGAAGTATTGCAAAGATGAAATGGATGGTGAAGATGATGTAATATAAATTATAATTATAATACAATTTTTAAAACTCAAAGAAATAATCATAACAAAATCATGCAAAAATAGCAACCATCTTCAAATCTCAGTACCCTGGAGACAGGGACAAGAATTCTTATACCATTTTAGATTAGCACATCAGTCAGCTGCAGAATAAATAAGAAATTGTACTCTACGGGGAAATAAATAGAGAGTCATCACTGAACATATCTAACATAAATATCTTACCTCTACATGTACACACACGAACAAGCATCCACACACATGTAAGAACAGACCTTTGTGAACCTGAATACATGCAGGTACAGGTAGATATTTGCTTTCCTTCTAATCTAATGGATATAGGTTTTGGAAAGTCTCTTTTCACAAACCAAGCTCCACTTTTGTATAGTAATTTTTGCTTCTTCGTTATTTTGTCATCTTACCTTTGTTATTGTCAGTTTAATTAAGAAAATATAAATCTTCTTGGGTATTTCAAGCAGCAAGAACATTAGTACATAGATATGTTGGCTGGCGTGAAGGAAAACTTACATGGCTCAGAAAAGGAAGTATAGGTGTGCTGTTTAACCAGCTGACCCTCTGTGTCTTCTGTGTCTACTAAATGTTTGTCTACCAATGTGTTCTTAAAATTGAAACTGGGTTTTCCTGTTTCACTGATATTAAAGGAAAAATCCTTCAAATTTCACATCAAATGTCCTTCATGGCAAAATTTTTACCAGAAATATGAGAATGAAGAGTTCCATGAAATGTCATGTCTTAAAGATTAGTTTCTAAAATACTGACAAGTATGGAAAATTTAGGGATCACACTGAATCATGCCCCCAAAATTGTTCACCCAAATTATAGAGAGTATGTACTTTCTAGGTGTATATACATGGCACTGTATCCATAGTGTCAGGTACCAATTCCTTAAGGCTGTATAAAGTTATCTATCTATCTATCTATCTATCTATCTATCTATCATCTATCTATCTATCTATCTATTATCTATCTATCTATCTATCTATCTATCTATCTATCTATCATCTATCTATCATCTATCTATCTATCTATCCATCTATCTATCTATCTATCATCTATCTATCTATCTGTCTAACCTCCTGACATTACAGTGGCCTCAAATCTTTATTTTCTCCTCTCAGTCATCAATGATTGTATGAAAATCCTTTTTTGTAACTATCATATGATATAAAACTAAAGTAAAATGCAAAAATTAATTCCTCCGGTTTCATCTGAAATAGGTTCATATGAACTCAGGTGGAAAAAATCATTTTGTTTCTTTGTCAAAACATAATTGAGATGTTTTGTTGACTAGAGTCATTGAATTGAAATGGGTCCACTAGACAAGAGTAACTCAACTAATGATCTTTGACATTGTGTTTACTATTGATAAAATCTCTAAATTATTAGTACACTGCAATATGTCAAATGAACATAATGAAAACAAATTGCTCACCCTTCAGACTTTGGAGATTTTACTGTTCTTTTGAGATCTAGTCACTATAAGAAGTAAGAAAAATAATTATTAATTGAAATAATATATGATTACCATTTTGGAAAATGCCTTATAAATCTTCAATTATTTTTGAAATGGTTGTAATTACTGAATATCAAGTGTTCTTTTTTATCATATGCTGAAGACAGAATTATGTGTATGTCATTAGTTCACTGGATTTAAAACAATCTTATAATCTATGTACCATTTGTATTTACATTTTCTAGGTAAAGAAAGTAAAGTTTGGAAAGTTCAAGTTACTCACTCAGAGGTTCGCAAGACACTGGAGTCATTGTAGAGTAACAGCTCCTTTTGTAATTCATATATTTCAGCATTACCCTCTACTTCTTTATCCAACAGTAGCAGAGATAGTGTGTGTCATGGCTGTTTGTGTTTGTCAACTTGATTACATCTGGGATGAACTAAAACCCACTATTATGGTACACTTGTACAAGGGGAATGTTTTCTTAATTCAAATAATTGAAAAGATTCTGTTATGAATGTCTGTGGTGGGAAAAATTCATCTTTAATCTAAGCCACACCTATATAAAGGCATGGAAGAAGGAAGGTCTGTCTATTTGTCTGTTTGCCCTCACTATAACTGGAAGTCTATTATTTCACTGGCATTGTAACCTAGTTCTTCAGGATTCGGATGCATATTGCTAATGGACTCATGGGCTGAAAAGCTACTGGCTTCTTGGACCTTCTGTTGGTAGACAGTCATTGTTGGACTGGTTGGACCTCCCCTTTAATCCACAGTAATAAGTTTTGTGTGTGTGTGTGCATGTGTGTGTGTGTGTGTGTGTGTAAATATATGTGATATATGTGTGTATGTGTGTGTTCTATCAGTTCTTCTTCTATAGAAAATCTTGTCTAATGCAGGTGCTCTTAGCTAAAATCTCTGAACAATCAAAAAAAAAGAAACAATCAGCATTTTGAAAGATGGGAATGGGACATAGAATGGAGAAATGGGGAAAGAAGCAAGACTAAGATTGAGGAGGACTTAAAGTTCTTGTGGTTATTTTCTAGCATGCTGGTGTCAGGGTAAACCCCAAAGTGCTTGGGTAGGTTGGCCCCCAAAATTCCGCTGTGTGGCACCCAAAAGGCCTATTTTCTGGTCTAGTTTTTTTGGTTGTCTGTGCCCTTTCTCAGCAGGTATTCAGTATTTCTTGAAGCTCCAAATTCCTAACGTCTGCACTTTCTTTAGTGCTAACTCACAGCTTCAGTTACCAACCCTCAAATACTCCTTCCCCTTGTTGTAGGGCTTTCCATCCTTCACTTTGGAATAAGCATGGGAACATCCTTAAATCTGTATTTTATCTGTTATGTGTCTCAAGCAAATCAGCATCATACAAATTACATCAAAATCTACTGCCTGCTCCTGCAGTAGTGGAACCCTTGGACCAGAGATACAGTGTGTTCTGGATCCCTGTATTTGGGCACGAATAGCTACTTGTCTAGAGTACTTTTGTCAGAAGAGTGCCCAATCAGAGCTGTCGTCTCTTGAAAAGGCTTTTCAAATGAGTTTACACAGGAGAAATCTAAAGTCTATGGTGGGTGACCTGTTGGCAAATTTCTGAAAGTCTCTCTGGACAATTTTCTAGACTCCTTATTAGTGATACCATTATGAGCAAAATGTTACATGTGATCATTTTTAGCTGAAAACACAGTTTCTTCTACTGTTCCGGAGGAGCATGATAATTTTCACTATAACTGTGGCCAAGAATATTTATAAATATTAAATCAACAGTTGGCATGTTGTACTACATTGAATTTTCCACCTTCAGATTACTGCATGTATCACCTTAGAATCTCAGGGTATGAAAAAAATTCCCGAAGTTTTATAACATGCATAGTTTCTTATCCATTCTTTTTATTTTAAGGGGAGAGCATGAACACAGTCCCTCACTACTATAAATTATGCAGTTGAATTTCCTACATTTGGGGAAATCACAGGGGCAGGCATATCCAGAGTGCAATGGATAAGCCTCAGCCTAGGAAAATCACCTTCATAATAATTATCTCTCCCTTGGCAGAAAAGTATTTCTCATCCATACATAATAGTCCTAAATTTTACTGGAAATTTCATAAGCACAGTCATACTGACCACATTTCTATTGGCATGGTGGTTTCCCCATGATTCCATCAAAATCTCTCATGAAGTTTTTCTTGACATTCTAGGGATTCTCAGATCCATATTTCCAAGCCACTCCATCTACTTCTTCCAAAGCCCTTCCAAAAGCTTCTGAATTATATAGTCAGGAAGATCAGAGAAAGGAAGCTTGCTTCTCAATGACAATTTCATGTTTTGTTTTTGTTTTTTGCTGTTGAAGCCAATTACCTGGTATAAATAACATCAGGCAGCAAAAATTCCTTTGGCTCAGAGTTTCATCCCATGATTGGCCTAGTCCTTTTTCTTACTTGGGCCTGTAGAAAGGCATACGAAAGTGGGAATGGGATTGGATGTGAAAGAAGGATGCACACATAGCAATGGCTCGGAAGTACAGAGTGGGAATGGAAGAGGTGATGACGGAACACTCAGTTCAAAGCATGTACTCAGATTGCCTCCAAGTTCTTACACCCCCTCCACATGCCAACGAATTAAGAACTTATCAATAGATTAATTCACAAGTTATACTCAGGCTCAGATGATCCAAACACCTTTCAAAGATCAGTCTAGTATCTGGAGACAACAAATGCAGCAAAAGAGACTTTGGAAGAAGCTTTACAATCAAAGAATCATGTGGTGGGATAATTGTGCACTTTGTGAAGATGTGTTACTGTGATTAGTTTAATAAACAGCTCAATGGCCAACAGCTAGGCAGGAAGAGTTCAGGCGAGACTTTTTGGGACAGAGAGGAATCTGGGAAAAAGGAAGGCAGATCTGCCGACCAGACATGGAGAGGAATGAGGAGGTTAAAGGTGAAAGATAGATAATACCACATGATATAATGTAGATTAATATAAATGAGTTAATTTAATCTAGAAGAGCTAGTTGAGACAAGCCTAAAGTAAAGACTGAGCTTTCATAAGTGGTAAGTCTCTGTGTTGTTACTTGGGAGCTAGTCGTACAGAGAAAGACTTGTTACAAAATTATAAGAATGGCCGGGCGATGGTGGCGCACGCCTTTAATCCCAGCACTCGGGAGGCAGAGGTAGGAGGATCTCTGTGAGTTCGAGACCAGCCTGGTCTACAGAGCTAGTTCCAGGACAGGCTCCAAAGCCACAGAGAAACCCTGTCTCGAAAAAAAAAAAAAAAAAAAACAAAAAAAAAAAACAAACAAAATTATAAGAATGCGTCCATGCATGTTAATAAAAAAATCATAGTTATCAATTTAAAATTTAAAAATATACATATATTTTAATACAACCTTTAACAAAATTTGTGTATTATTTTCTTGTTGAAAACATTGATCAATTATACCTATTAAAATTTTGGGGGTTGATTTATTTTAGTGAGAAAGTAGATAATTATATAGTTTTGGAGTCTCTCTTTGGACATTCAGTAGAACTTTGATGATAAAACGTATTTATGTGTGTGGTGAAATTTTGTGGCTGTGAGGAGCCTATAAAACACAGAACAACTTTGACCTCATTTTTAATTTTTCATACTAATTAACTTGTACTTGACAGGGGCTGAATTTGGCTGATAGATATTCAGGGACGCCCTAGCTATAGCTCTGTGAATCATGAGGGATATCTACTCTCTTCCAAATAATCCACCTTTCCATTTCTCAGGTAAAAATGTAACCATATTTTAGAACACAGTGAGGCACATTGGGCTACTCCAAATGTTGGAGGAATTTTATAAGCATAAATACTTAAATTTTCCAAGGCCTTTTAAAAAACAACTTGTCTATTTGCTAATGCTGACTGCATAGCTACAAAAGGTTTCAATATTCTAAAGGCTGTAGAATAATTTTCCTAGCTCCAGGAAAGCATCCTACCCTGTTGGTGGAAGCAAGAGTTCAGAAGGACATGGACAGCATGCAAAGCCTGCAAATAGCAGGGACCGTGAGCTACTGTAGGTGTGGGTTTTGTTTGAGCCTGATATTGATGGATACACTGAATAGAGATCAAGTAAAACCAACCCTACACAGCTATGGCTGTTACCACTGAGTTCACGCATACAGCAAAAATCAAATACATAAATGGAGTGTTATAAGATAAAATAACAGTGACAGAAGTTGCTCATTAAAGCAAAACATAAAATCACATAGTATTAAGTTGATAAAACTATAAATAAAGTCAGAATACTATGACTAAGTAAAGAAATTGACAAAGTTATTATAAAAGAGCTGTCCTCTCAAATAATTCGCTTGAAAGACATCACAAGCTCCATACTCACCCTAACTGCAGCCATGCTGATAGGGAAGAGAAAGGCTCACTGATAGGCTTCATGAAAGAGCCCCAAAGTGACTGCTGAGTTGCTGGGAGGAGATGCCTGGCTCAATGAGTCCCACAGAGTTCTTTCCTTCCGTCCAGAAAATGTCCTCTCTCACCACACCTGCAGAAGCAGGTGCAGACAGGTTATAAAAGGCAACTTGATTCGTTTCCTGCCAGATCAAAGTACTGTGTGGATTGGAAAAACAGAAAAATGTCTGGAAAATAGAAGACTTAACGGAAGGCGGCCTTTGGGGACAATAACAACAGATGTGCTGAAAATTCATGAACCTTTCACTATAAATGTTCTCTTGTTCATCCGTTACATAAGGAATTACGCCAGGCCAGCCTCCATGTCACAGTTCTTGCTTCCTTAGAACAACTGGCCAAGACTGGAAGTCTCAGCAAAATAAGATACGGGATATGTGTTGTTAGACTTATGTTCAGTTTATGAATCCACAGGAGAGCACAGGAACCCTATAAACGAATGTATCTGAACAAAGAGTCTTTTATATATGTCATGTTTTCACAGGACATACATATGCCAACACAATTACAGAGTGGTGAAATTCGTTCTTGGTGGTTCACCAATTCTATTCTTTTATCAGATAATCGATTCAATGAACAATAAGTTTCACAGGTCTTGAGAAGGGAAATTGTAATATTTGCTTGTATCACAGACCAGAATGTTCTTACAGCTTTCCTAAATGACCACACAAATTAGATTATACTTTGTATCTAGAACTCCATATAAACAAACCATAGTGTAAAAAGTCCTGAAGTATTCCGCGAGCTACTTCCTCTTCTCTGCCGATGCACATAAACCGGAACATGAAATCTACAATTAACAATATTACCAAATAGATATTCACCAGCTGCTTAGTATATGGAACCTAAGGTACGGGAGGTCTAAAACATAAATTTCCAAACACACTCATAAGTAGAAAATAATGGATTTAAAGAAACTGCAGCTTTCTTTGAACAAAAACTCTATAATTGACCATGAGGGGCTTTTGAACATTATACAGACTTCTAATTATAATTCAATTCTACCAGAAGGCTAATGCATTTAGCAAAATAACACTATATACAAAATATTTTTTATAAAATGTTAACCCAAATGAAGAAGGGAAAATTTTGAGTTTTTGGTAAGTCAGGCTCTAGGTTGGCAAGGCTTATAGTCAACGATTGCCATTTTGTTATGATTATTTCCTAACTATGTTGATTATTATTTTGTGAAGTGAGAAAATTATGATAGTAATATTATACCTCAAATTAACAAAAAAAAATGAAAGAAGCAAAATCAAAAGTTGTCACGTCACTCTTTCTGTACCTTAGTGCACTGAACTAATTTTAACAGGCTGTTAATGGCTTTACTCATCAAAGTCATTAATGGCAGGTTTTGTTGTTTTGATTTGTAAGCATTTAATATTCCAGTCAAGGAACAGACAGATTGTGAAGTGGAAAGTGTTAGATGCCATCAAGAAAACACTTGGTGATATTAACAATAACTCATGCTGTAGAAAAATGATTGAATTCCCTCCTGTTTAAGTCCAAGGCAAATCCCACCACAATGCTTGGCATGAAAACAATTCACTTCAGGGTTTAATTGTAACGTTTTTAGTGTTTTACAAGATTCTTGTAAATGAATATGTAGTCAAAAACCGACTTTCTGCACTTGGTGAAATTTTTAAGTATTTGCAACTAATGCTCTTTAAAAGACTTACCTCCCTCATGGAGAGATGTGTGCCACACCTGGTCAGCTTTGATATACATGACAATTAAAAACTAAGTTAACTTTTATTCAGTTATTTCCCAGGATCAAAGTTATATCATTTGTTTCTGTGTGATTTTTCCCTGTTTATAATGCTAGTATATTCACAATTTGGTAAAATGCGTGTGGGAATAGTTTTTAATGATTGCTTAAAGGTACTAGCATTTATCTAAATAAACTTTCAGGAATTTTTGTGGTCACTTGGGTATGTGGACGGGAAAGTAGACATGTGTGGATATTTTGGGCATATTAGATGCCTTTATTTAACCATTTGATAGGGTTTCATGTTATGTCCAAATCTAGGTCCCCAAAACATCGCCATGAGACCATATCCTATTGAAAAACTCTTTAATGAGAGTTAAGTCAGGTCCCTCAGTCCTTAAGAGCAGCAGCAGCAGCAGCAGCAGCAGTAAAGAGAGCAGAAACACCAGCATCAGGAACCACAGAGGAAATACCTCTAGCAGTGCAAAAGGGGGTGGGTGAATACCAGAATTCCAGGCTTGGGATTGGCTGCTCCCTATGATGTAATGGGATTTTCAAGCCTGATGGGACTTTTCTCCAGCGCTAGGATTGGGGACAATGGTCTCTTCCCCTGACTCTAGTCCCATTTTCAGAATGTGTTTCTTTCTTCGGCTCTGAATCCAGAGCCAGGCTGCTTGGGGGGTTGTGCTAGGGTTATGGACTCAATGAAATTGTGGGGACCTGAGCTTCTTATTTCCAGATTAATGTATATTATTTTAAAGAAGAATGTGAGAAAGGTATATTTATCTTACTAAGAAGAAAGCTGTATTTCCCCATTGGATGGATTTCTATGTCCTAGAAATCAGGGGGATGTGCGCTCTGAAGGTAAACATCATTTAAGTCAACAAACAGCCTGAAGCTAAGCAC